AGTGATAATCTTGTTTTCTTGTGCCCAATAATGCATAATTTCATTTGATAAACACGTTTAGATTGAATGGTAATTTATAATCAGTCACAAGAACGTCGAATCTGAATCACTTGAAAAAAACACGGGGGTGCTTAACTTTTTTCCAGGTGTATATAATAAAGCTTGATTCAGATGTATATAAGGTAATACCACAACTTAATGATTGTTTATTGGTCTAACAGTATAATAAAGCTTGATTCAGGTGTATATAAGGTAATACCACAACTTAATGATTGTTTATTGGTCTAAAAGTATAATAAAGCTTGATTCAGATGTATATAACGTAATACCACAACTAAATGATTGTTTCCCAAATCAAGCTTTATTATACTGTTAGACCAATAAACAAACATTAAGTTGTGGTATTACCTTATATACATCTGAATCAAGCTTTATTATACTTTTAGACCAATAAACAATCATTAAGTTGTGGTATTACCTTATATACATCTGAATCAAGCTTTATTATACTGTTAGACCAATTTAAGTTGTGGTATTACCTTATATACAAATCAAGCTTTATTATACTGTTAGACCAATAAACAATCATTAAGTTGTGGTATTACCTTATATACACCTGAATCAAGCTTTATTATACTGTTAGACCAATAAACAAACATTAAGTTGTGGTATTACCTTATATACACCTGAATCAAGCTTTATTATACCGTTAGACCAATAAACAAACATATTACCTTATATACATCTGCAACTAATACTTTTACTTTGATATAAATACATACAAACACACACACAGATATAATTAATTCCACTAAGGAAAACTTGTTACCAAACAAAACACAACTAATACTTTTACTTTGATATAAATACATACAAACACACACACAGATATAATTAATTCCACTAGGGAAAACTTGTTACCAAACAAAACACAACTAATACTTTTACTTTGATATAAATACATACAAACACACACACACACACAGATATGTAATAGAAAAATAGCACAGAAAAGTTTCAAAGTTCTACCAAAAGCTGCCAACTTCTCTTACCATTTATAATAGTTAACAATGCAGTACCAAAACCTTCTTAACAACTGTATTATATTATTAATGTGGTCCTTTCATGCTATACACAACCAAATCAAGCTTTATTATACTGTTAGACCAATAAACAATCATTTAGTTGTGGTATTACCTTATATACACCTGAATCAAGCTTTATTATACTGTTAGACCAATAAACAATCATTAAGTTGTTGTATCATTACATACATCTAAATCAAGCTTTATTATACTGTTAGACCAATAAACAATCATTAAGTTGTGGTATTACCTTATATACATCTGAATCAAGCTTTATTATACTTTTAGACCAATAAACAATCATTAAGTTGTGGAGTTTTGTTTGGTAACAAGTTGTCCCTAGTAGAATTAATTTAAGTTTCCTTTCTATACAAATGTATTTGCTGTGTTAATGCCCAATTTAGATTGGTCTGTCTGTAGTGTATTAATTCTCTTGTCTAGTACATTCAAATTGTATATATATATTTTAAATTACAAAAACAGTGAAGGTCACAACAATAGATTCTTTATACATAACTAGAACAAATATATACAAAATTCTTGAACAACAAAAATATTGTTTGATATACAGGACAAAGTCGAAAGAAACCAGAGAACAGTGAAGATGTTAAAGCTGAAGTTCATCCACAAAAAATGTTAATTATTTCTGGTGGTGAAGGGTACATCGATTTTCGTGTTGGTAAGTAATTGGGTCTAATGACTTGTTAGTATTCTCGAAAGAATACCTCCATAGTATAGTTTTAATCACCTGGTTTCTATTATTAGTTGTGATATTTTCAAGGCTTCTGTTTGTACAATTTTTTTTTTCTTCTCTTAAAAAAATATTACGTTTTAATGTTCAAAACAAGCTGTATGATATTTTTGAAATATTTTAAAACTTTAGGTCCACTTATGCTTAAGAGAAGTGATTAAATACTTTTGAGAAAATTGTGTTGATCAGATATCAATCATTGTCCTTGTTTTCAAATGAGACCCAAATCTTGATCACTTTCATACAGTTCACTGGTCTTCTTCAGTATGTTTAATGAGTGTAATGAAATATATAGGCAGGGATGTTGACGTCATGTAAACTTGATGTTCAGTATGAGTTAGCTTTCACAACTAGCCAATCACAACCTAGAGTTGTTGGTGTCAGGTTTAGTTTGCGCCAAAGAGATTTGTACAATACACACTACTACTACTACTAACTAAAGTTGACAATGAAGGGAAGTGATGTTTAATATTTAATTTAATATTAATATTTAGAATTGTTTTTGATAAAATAAAAAAGCTTTAGTTGAGAAAGATTATGCTATTGATGCTATTAGTGGATAAGTACATGTGTTGTGTTCTACCTATTTCTGTTACAAGTGTTGTGTTCTACCTATTGATGTAATTAGTGGATAAGTACAAGTGTTGTGTTCTACCTATTGATGTTATTAGTGGATAAGTACAAGTGTTGTGTTCTACCTATTGATGCTATTGTGGATAAGTACAAGTGTTGTGTTCTACCTATTGATGTTATTAGTGGATAAGTACATGTGTTGTATTATACCTATTGATGTTACTTGTGGATAAGTACAAGTGTTGTGTTCTACCTATTGCTGCTATTAGTGGATAAGTACAAATTTTGTGTTCTACCTTTCGGTATTATTTTAAACACAATTAACACTGTACATTAGTGTGTTGTCTGTCAGCCAGTCATTAAGCACTAAAATGACATCATGTAAGGAACACTTAATGTCGAAACTTGTACTGTCATGGCATCAGTAAAATATGTGCATGCCGTGAATCTCAACAAGAATTATGCACTATGTAGGCTACAACCCAGCATGACATATGAGCTTGAAAAGCAAGAAGTAAAGATACTTGTTACTCTTAATTTTGGTTTTACTTACTCTTGAGGCAGGACACTTTCGAGGACACTGCAGAAGTATGTCTAGTAATGATTTGTACATATTTAAATGACTTGTACTGCTGTTTTTCATAGAGTGGTTAATTATAACATTTTCTTGTATCTGACGTTTTAATAGGAGAGGATGAAGAACAAACAGAAGATGCTGTTGTGGAGAACAAACATTTTTCTACATCTAAGGGAGAACAAAGTCATTTGATTGTTTGGCAAGTGACAGCCATCTAATAATTAACTACATCAGGTTGTTGGCCAGTCATTGTCATGTTGATCTTGTATCAGATTGATTTGCCAATCTGATAATTACTACTGATTGCTTTGTCTACCACTGTGATTAAGAAGATTACTCTTTATAGTTTTTCAATAAATTTTGCAATAAGCAAGGTACATGAACAGAAACTTTGTTTGTTAAAGTGCAAGATTTTTTTAAGTATTTGTTATGGAATGTAAAACATGTGGGAAAAATATAATATAATTATTAACACAAAATTATTTGGTGCTTGATACCAGTGCTTAAGTGTATGTAAAAAATAAATTACAAGGAATATTACTGTTTTAAATTATGGTAATTCAAGACAAAAGGTGGTAAGAAATTCTGTCAACAATTTAAACATAATCCATTGAGATTTTATGTAAATGTATATTTATTCTATAACCAAGTTCAGAGAATTCCACACGTATCCAGCACCAGTGAGCCTTATCTGTAGGGCATTATGTATATGTTGAGGACCACACAGAAGTGCAGTTTTCAAAAAATTTTGATTTCATGTTTAGAAACTGTAATTCAAGGCTGTTGTTATGTGTCATCATCCTTACCAGTTCAAGTTAAGTTTATCTTTTTTTCTGTAAGCATGGGATTTAACTAATCTTTAAATATACATTTTCCACAAAATGTACATGTAACTAATTCCTCAGTATTTCTTTTCGTGGATGTAATTGATAGCTTTGTATGTTTTCCTTCACATATAGCTTCCTCTAAACAGCAAAGGGGACATATTGGATGTCACCAGTAAACCTAACTGTTGTGTAAAATTTAACATATATTTCTTTTCTAATAAAGATCCTGTGATGACTTTATAATTTTGTAATGTCAAAATTCATGTCAAAACACCAATTTATGCTTTTGCTCTTGACAAACATGTATGTAAGGTTATTGATTGATTTTTCTGATGTAATTATTACTTTGCAACTTTCTCTCCCCCTCCTCCCCACATATATCCACATAAGCAAAATAATAAAACATCTGTCTAAAAATGCTCATTGGTACTTGTCTCAATTATTTTACTTTATCGGTTAAAGAAGCATTATATTTTCATCAGCTCATAAGTTTTCTCAAAAACCTGTATATCAAAGACAAAAGTACACAGATATATAGCCTTCACATTATCAGCTATAGGATCTTCACTGGAAATACATAACCTGTACACCATCAACAGTGGTTTGTTAAATCTTACTCCTATTCCAACCAGTAGCACAGCAGTGAGTCTGAAAGGCTGTAACACTACAAGCTGAGTTTTGATACTCATGGTGAGCACAAATAGGCCATTCTATAGCTTTGTGCTTAATTAGAAACAAACCAACACTAAACGATACAAGAACGTTATCTTTGGACATCATCAGAGTAGGTTGCCTAACATTTTTGTTTGAAGTACAAAACGTACTAATGTAAATATATAACATGCATATAATCAACCTCTAAAACCTGTGGTATATTTACACAAGTAATTACTATGGACAGTAGCAGGTGGTTGTCTGAAAGTCTTCTATACAACACTTCTATACATAAATATTTACTATGGAAATTAACAACTGTTGGTTCTCTGCAGTCCTTCTATAAAACACTAGGTTTACTTACACGAGTATTTACTGTGATATTTGAAGTCCTATAAAACACATGGCATAATAATAAAACAACACAATATTGTTTGTATCAGTTATCAAAAAAACACAATAAATGAAACAAACTCTCAGAAGTCTTGATATTAAAGAAACAAGTTTCAACACATTTGTACATCCTCTTTGATCTCATGTCTTCTGACAGGAAAACTAGTCAAGGTGTCTGTGTTTCATTACCCGTATAGACACAGGTGGACAGGAAGGTGCTTAGCTTACAGTGACCCTGGATGGTGTTGAAATTAAGCAGGGTTTAGATTGTGTATCTTTACTTAAAATATTTCTTAATATAATTACAAAAACATTTACTGTGCACAGCAGCAGCTGTATCTCTGACATCCTATAACACACTTGATATACTTTTACAAATATCTACAGTACAACACTAGCAGCTGTATCTCTAGTCCTATAACACACTTGATATACCTTTACAAATATCTACGGTACAACACTAGCAGCTGTATCTCTGGAGTCCTATAACATACTTGACATCCTTTTAAAAATATCTACAGTACAACACTAGCAGCTGTATCTCTAGTCCTATAACACACTTGATATACCTATACAAATATCTACAGTACAACACCAGCAGCTATGTTTCTAGTCCTATAACACACTTGATATACCTATACAAATATCTACAGTACAACACCAGCAGCTATGTCTCTGGAGTCCTATAACACAGTTGACATACTTTTCCAAATATCTACAGTACAAAACCAGCAGATGTGTCTCTGGAGTCCTATAACACACTTGACATACTTTTACAAATATCTACAGTACAACACCAGCAGCTGTATCTCTAGTCCTATAACACACTTGATATACCTTTACAAATATCTACAGTACAACACCAGCAGCTGTATCTCTAGTCCTATAACACACTTGATATACTTTTACAAATATCTACAGTACAAAACCAGCAGATGTGTCTCTGGAGTCATATAACACACTTGATATACCTTTACAAATATCTACAGTATAACACTAGCAGCTGTAACTCTGGAGTCCTATAATACACTTGATATATCTATACAAATATCGACAGTACAAAACCAGCAGCTGTATCTCTAGTCCTATAACACACTTGACATACTTTTCCAAATATCTACAGTACAAAACCAGCAGACCTGTATCTCTAGTCCTATAACACACTTTACATACTTTTCCAAATATCTACAGTACAAAACCAGCAGATGTGTCTCTGGAGTCATATAACACACTTGATATACTTTTATAAATATCTATAGTACAACACCAGCAGCTGTGTCTCTGGATTCCTATAACATACTTGACATACTTTTACAAATATCTACACTACAACACTAGCAGCTGTATTTCTGGAGTCTTATAACACTTGATATATCTATACAAATATCGACAGTACAAAACCAGCAGATGTGTCTCTGGAGTCATATAACACACTTGATATACTTTTATAAATATCTATAGTAGAACACCAGCAGCTGTGTCTCTGGATTCCTATAACATACTTGACATACTTTTACAAATATCTACACTACAACACTAGCAGCTGTATTTCTGGAGTCCTATAACATACTTTTACAAATATCTACAGTACAACACCAGCAGCTGTGTCTCTGGAGTCCTATAACAC